TGCTATATGTTTATCAATAAAACTTTGAAAAGAAAAAAAAGATGTGTTATTTTTATACAGTGAACTATTATTACTCAGCTATAATAAAGACCAACTTTAGACCTTTATAGATAAGTGGATGCAGCTAGAGGCTATAGTCATAATTAAAATCAATCACACTCACATGTATAAATATTGTATTGTCTCTCTAGTGTAAGTAGCTGAAAGAGTAAATGAAACACAAAAGCTATAATAGATACAGTAAAAAATTGAACATAAAGAATAATCAATGTGTATGAGGGAAAGAAGATAGGATAAAATGAAAGGGGAAAAATCATGCAAGAGTATAGTTACATTCTCTTAATGAATAGAGCGATTTGTTCTAATGGTGTTTGTAAATAGGATATCATGTCCGCATCTTGTACAGCAATTAACCACTAGGAAGAATGTATGCAATGTGTGAATTATTGAAACTGTCCTACCAATTTGATTTGTAACTCTCTCATTGCTATTTGTTTATCAATAAAATTATAGGGAAAAAAGATTGTGTAATTTCTGTTCTTTTCATTTTTCCAGTTTATGTTTGGGTATTTTATTCATTTTGAATGTCTTAAAAGTACATGTGGGCAGTACATGATCATTGGCATATGCATACCAAGTGCATATCAGTGCATTTACCACTATATTAATCTCCATGGATGAATTTATGGTGAGTTGCTTATGCTTTATGCTGTCTGAACTTTTGTTTTCCTTCAGAATTTCAATGCATTAACCTCAGAAGATATTGTAGTTTATTTTCCTTTCTCTTTTGGCACCATTTATAAATGATACTACACCTTGCACATACCACTGAGCAAGACCATCAAGACTAGAAGTTCCATTTTTACATAATATGTAAGAATTGTTATTTTTCACGTGTTTCTTTGCAGTACTTTGGTACTTTTCTGATCTCTGTATTGAGGAACCAGGTCACTGTTTAAAAATCCATCCATTGGAGTATCTGTCACATCTGTGTCATGAGAATTCCACCAGCCTTGTCCTCCATCTACTTGCAATTGTGTTGCTCAGTATCATAACCTCTCACCACTCTTCCATATGAAGGAACACGAGGAATAACACGCTGGTGCGCTTTGTGTCTAGATGTCCCCCCAAATCCTCACACAGTCATGGGAGGGCATCTAGAGTTTATGATTTATTTGTGGTCCAAGGCTTGAACTATGAGTGTGAGTGCTTTTCTGGCTGTGGTAAGGGAAGTTTTCATACAATATAAGGGAGGGAAAGAGGCTTACTCTGCATTGTTCTTCCTTCTTTTGCTTTTGCTGCTTTTGATGTTTTTCACTGCCATGAGCTGTCACCCTCTGCTCTTTGTCAGCCAGACTTGGAGCCAGGGGAATATGGCTGAAACCTCCAGGAACTGTGAGCTAAACAAACTTTTCCTTTCTCAATTCTGGCTGACAGGTATTTTATCTCAGCAACTAGAGAAAAGAGACCTAGACATCCTCTATCTGTTACTACTCTGTTCTGTGATCCACTCTCCAACATCTCCATCTTCCTTACATATCCATACCTCTGTGAACCAGTGTTTCTCTTTTGCTAGGAGATCAGGTGTGACATTATCCATGTAGAAGGGACCCCTAAAATATGTGTGCTTCATTTAATGTTAAGATCTGTTATTTGCTCTACTTTCCAGCAGTATGCCAAACTGCTGAGATAATTCACTTAAAAAGGGTTATTTGCACTTACACTTTTAGAGTTTTCCGTCCATCCTCAAAGTTGGCAGATTGTCAGCCCCTTGATTCCCTTTGGAAAGGATCTGATTCCCTGTTTGTTCCTCAAAAATTGTACCCATTCCTGCCACAGAAAATGCTATGAGTTCCCTGCCTTCCCATCCAGCTCAGGCTGTGTCAGTCCTTCAAAGGCGTTCCATATTGTTCTTCTGCAGAATGATAGATGTGTGTAATCAAGTTAAAGGCCTTTGCTGATCTTAGAAGGCATGTTATGTCTAAGGTTTCTGGTAGTGACTTTGTGAATATTTTGAATTAGGTAGAATATTGAAGCTGCACAGGGGAGCAAACAATCACCCAAATTGATGGCAGAAGGCTGCTCTGGACTCTAGAACATCATAACAAAATAACAAGGAAAGCAGAGGGAAGTATTTCAAATGTACAAAAATGATGCAAATCGTAGAAGCAGAATAATAAGATTATTGAAAACCAGTTTATTAGAGGAAATTTCTGAAGACTCTATTATAGAAAAGGATAGAAATCAAATATTTCAAACTTAAAATATCAACAATTATGTTAATTTTTAAAAATTATAAAGAAAGTGTATAAATAAAACACCTGAAGAAATAATACTAAAATAAGGGCCAGCAGTATAGCTCAGCAGACGAAGCACTTGCTTACGTAAGCTCAGTGGCCAGGGTTTGATCCCTGGCTCCGCATGCCCAACCAGCCATTTCCCTGAACACTCTGAGCCAGCGATGGAGTCAAGGCGTGGTGGTGTGCACCTGTAATCCCAGCACTTGGGAGGCAGAAATCAGGAGGATCACAATGAGTCTGGGCTATGTAGTGAGACCCTGCACAAAAGAAAAGAAAAGAAAACAAACAAACAAAACCAACTAAAATAAAGCAAAATGAAAACAAAATAAAAAACACCCTGAAGAAAGCAGTTTGTAGCATTTAGATGGACAACAGTTTTTTGATCCACACTTTAAAATAACTAACAGGAAATACAAACATAGTCAAATGAGATTCCTGCAAACTCAAAAATACCAACACAACAAAGGAATCAATAACTCAGGTGAAGAGATTGGTTATGTAACAGAGGGAAATATTTCCATCTGACAAAAATGTATATGCGTCGTGTATAAGTAATGAGAAAACTCAAAGACAAAATATGAGTACATTAACATTTGAAGAAAAAATGCCTAAAAATTCTTCCAAAAAAGACATAAATGACCCAGAGGTGTATGGACATATAAAAGTTATCATCATTGAAATACGTTTCATAGAATATCTGTTATCAGAGAGACAATGTTTAAAAGCTTCTTGAAATAATTGAGCAATGGAAATACTTAGATATTTTTCATGAGAATTTGAGTTAGCATATCCAGCAAAGAAAAAAATTTCTATGTTACTCAGAACTGTGGAAATATAACTACTGCACTATTCAGAAATCCAACAGCTGCACCTGTAACAAATAGAAATTATATCAGTTTGTCAGAGGGCCCCTTGCATTGTCATGATTTACGCAGTACTTACAGTCACCAAGAAATGACAATGTTAAGACAGAGTTCACAAACGGAAACAAGGGCAGTTGTAAGAGACAAATTAATAGAGATAACATAAAAGCAAAATGAGAACCTGAAAATAGATCCAACAGTGCCTAGAAGATTCAAATAAAACCAACATAAATTTAACTGGAATTATAGAAAATCAGAAAACAGAAAACAGACAGCACATGGCATAAAAATTTTGTTCACTGAAATAATAGGTGAGAACATTCAAAGCAAGAGAAAAACAAGACATACAAATGAGTGAGGCATATAGAGCTCAAATAACCACGATCAGTGAAAACCTTCTCCAAAACACATCACAGCTGATGGAGATGGAGATGCTGGAGAGGAAATCAATGTGCAATTTGAAAGACCCATCTCTGATGAAAGTACACCAGCCAATCCCAGACAGGTGGCTAATGTATATTGTGGACTACAAACAGAAAGAGCACCTGCCTGAAAAATTCTTTAGAAATTGCAGTTTCAGGTCTGGTGGTATCTTAGAAGGCAGCAGGGAATCCTTAAGCCTCTTCTTTACATGTCTATCAAGGGCATCAATGACCCAGGCTGAGTCACAGAACAGAAGGCAGCCTCATTAGGGATAAATATCACATGTCCAGTGCCAGTGTAGGCAGCTTCCTTACACAATACCTTATCTTGGGCACTTCTGACAGTCACACTGCCTCAGCCTCCTATATGCTCCACCTCAAAACACATATGCAAATTAGGCCAAGTGCAAGCAGAATAAATTCCTGTCACCATCTAAGCTGCTGTGGAGGTCATCATCCTGCAGGCAACATGCAGGGAATGTGGACTTTTCTGTGCCTGATGGCTGCTCCCCTAGGTAAGCGTTCTGGGGTCTCTAGAAGTTTAAGAAACCTGGGTGTGGGAAGAGGACTCACCATGACTCCCTTTGTCCTCAGGTGTGCTGTCTCTCACACTTCGTGAGTCAGGACGAAACCTGGTGAAGCCTGGAGAGACCCTGTCCCTCACCTGCACAGTCACAGGAGGTTCTGTAACCAGTAGCTATGCTTGGAGTTGGATCCGCCAGCCTCCAGGCAAAGCTCTACAGTGGATGGGGTACTGGGCAGGAAGCACAGAGTACAGCCCAGCTTTCCAGGGCCGCATCTCTATCACTGCCGACACAGCCAAGAACCAGTTCTCCTTGCAGCTGAAGTCTGTGACCACCGAAGACACAGCCATGTATTACTGTGCAAGGCACAGTGAGAGAACCTCAGTGTGATCTCAGACATAAACCTCCCTGCTGGTGTGCTTTTGACCAGCAGGGGGCGACCATGACCACCAAGCTTGGAAACCAGCTTCAGGAACAGTTTGGCTGGGGATGTCCTTTCAGTCTGGTATCACCCTCCCTACTCATGCCATCCCATTCTGCCATCCTTCAGTCCTTCAAATCTGTCAGTTAGGTATTTACAGGAATCATGCCTCACCTTCCACTACTCTTGTCTATGGAGATCTCTTTCATTTCACTTGGAAACTAATTTCTCCTCACCAATCTACCAGCTCAGCTCTAGGTTCTTCCACCACAGTCCTCACTTTGTGTCTCCATGTGGAAAGCCAATAAGTGCCCAGAATTTGCAAGTATGCTAATTTGCATCTGTCCCGAATGTTCTTGTTACACCTCATCCTCATGATTTGTTGCAGTCAAGGTGCCCAGCCTCTCAGGGAGGCCCTTGGAATCTCCTCTGACATCTCTTTCATTTTCACATGAACACCTACAGAAGGAGCTCTGGCAGTGCATTCCGACTCACAGACAGGGCTACAGAGAACAGCTTCTCAAGACCCCTGAAGTGTCATTGTTCTGCAGGCAGCATTTTTGCTCAGGGAGATGGCTGCCCCAGCAACCTTCATGCAGATTACATTTTGTTTCTTTTCCACTTTCTACGAGTTGCCAGTCTCTCTACTCTCAAAAGCTCTTGATTTTTTCTTACGTCACCTTCTTCATGCCACTTATAAGCACAGGTGGTACATCCCCAAGTACATTGAGGTTACTTGAGTAGAACAAAATAGTAACCTTCCCCTCAAGGACTTTTCCATGATCATGCCACAGAAAGAAAAGTTATGGGGGAGAGAACAAACATATGGGCAAACGAAATGCTGACTCACGTGGCCCAAGCTTTTTCTCCCTCTTACCTTCCTCCTTTCCAGGCACAGCCCCTCGCCTTGCACAACAAGAACACTTCTTAAATTCAGCTCCAGCCAAATCCATGCATATCAAAATTGTACTGTTTGTTTTTGAGTATTTGCTATTGTTTCTAATTTTTCTACAAACAGCAATTATTACATTGCAATTAATATGATGTACTCTCTCCCTATTGCCCTTTGAAAATGATATTAATGGTTCCATTCTGAATTTTAAGTGTGGTATGATTCATTGATTGACTGCTTTCATATTCCTATACCTATGATTATGCTTGCCTTAGTTACTATTCTCTCCTTGCTGGGACAAAATACCTACATCCAAAATTAAGGAAGGGAAGGGTTAATTAGCTCACAGTTAGTGGAAGTTTTTAGTCCATAGGGTCCAAGGCAGGGTGGCACATGGCAGAGGGCAGACAATCATGGCAAGGGAAAACAGCAAAGAGCTACAGGAAGAGAAGAGCTGCAGCAGTTATCTACCTCTCTTTCTTCCTTACATTGTATTTAGTATATTCATCCCAGGGCATGCATAACACTCACACCAATAATCCCAGCACTGGATCATGAATTAAGCACAGACTCTAAAAGCAGTCCCATGACTGCATGAGCCTTTGGTTGGAAACCTAGACAAAGGGTAACAATGCACCATAGTTTGACATTTCAAATATCAGAAATTTCCTCATTAAAGTTTGTTCTTTAATTGTTCATTAATTTTTCATGCTTTATTGTTAATTGATTTTAAAAGTTTTTTTTAACATTTATTTATTTAGTGTGTGTGTGTGTGTGTGTGTGTGTGTGTGTGTGTGTGGCCAGCTCAGCCCACCAGGGGGCGGGGCTGGCCTGCATGTGGTGCTGGGGGATTGAACCACAGTCCCTGTGCTTTGCCAAGCTTTTTCCAAGTAGGTGCTTTTTAGACCACTGAGCCATCCCTCCAGCCCCTGTTAATTGATTTTAAATCTAAGAAAGTTCAGAAATGCTTTTCAGAAGATTACACAAATTAACCCCTGTTGTTTGTCTAAAGGCAAAATGTTTGCTGAGCTGGTTGTTCCTGAGAAGTGCACCCAGATCCCATTTTCGTACCTTTTCCAGCTTTTATAAGTTGCCGGTCTCCTGTAGCCCATGTTCATTCCTCTGCCTTCACAATGTATCACTGCAATCTCTGTTCTCAGGAACACCTCACCTTTTCCTCTAGCCCTCACCATCCTTCTTCCTACCCTTAAGCCCCCTTGGGGTTACACTGAGGTGCTCAGCTTATGCAGAATCTTGTCTTCCTGTCAAGAGCTCTGATTTAACAACATCCACAGTATCCTAGTTACCATCATCAGGGCACAGAGTGACAGGCACTGGTGATGAGCCTGTGGACATATGGGGACGCAGACCCAGCTGGCCCAGGTTCTGTCTCCTGCTCAGCCTGGCTCCATTCTGGGCACAGCCAGCCCCTGCAGATGAAGGACATTGTTTAGGAACACCAACAGTAGAGTCTGTGCACATCACACTCCTAGTGTTTGTTTCCATCTTTCTTATCTTTTCCTTTTTTGCTATCATAGCAGGGAAATGTTTACCATAGCATGGAGTGTGTTGCCTTCCTGCAGCCCTTTTGAAAGTATAACATACTATTTATTCCCTCCTGGATGTTTAGAGTCATGTGCTCCCTTCATCATGAGAATGTACATACATTTCAGGACTTACAATTATAATGTGTGCTTTGTCCCTCTTCACAAAGGAAAATTCTTATTTCTTGTCCCCCAAACAATAGTGAGGGCCTTTATTTATACCTTTACAAAGTTGCACAACACAAGGTTGCCTAGCGACTAATAACCCACAATATCCAGGTGGGATGGTTTTCTTAGGACTGTTGTAACCTGACTGCTTCAGGCAACCATCCTGCCCTCCCACATATGATCAATTTCCAGGTTCAACAGCTCCCAACTCAAAATACAAAATATCTGAGCTTATTTACTATAAGGGAGAAAAGTTACTTTCATATGGCTGAACATGTATTTTGACAAAGCCATTATGAGGGACTCCAGAACACGTCTCATTAAATTCTTTAATTTTTTTTTTTTTTTTTTGCGGAACCAGGGATTGAACTCAGGCCCTTGTGCTTGCCAGGCAAGCACTTATTCTACTGAGCTATCTCTCCAGTCCCCCAAATTTTTTATTAGTTTGCGTGAGTGAGTGACTGAACTTATGAACTCATAAATACCTTCTCATTCCACAAAACACATTTATGAAATGTTCCATGCAATTTTGAAGAAAATAGCAATTGGTAATAACCCCAAATTCCAAAAATTGCTCATCTACACTAAAGAATGCAATAAGAGAATGGGCTGCACCATTTACAATATTATGACAAAAAATTCTCTACATTATGTTGATTTTTGTGTGATAGTTGCTGTAACAGTGGATGAGCTCAAAGATGAATGTATCAAAGGCAGGAGTTCATTTAGCTCATGGATCTGGATGCCCATGAGCAAGGCACCAGTACCTACTTTCTTCCAGAAAGGGATTCACACTGTGTTATGACAAGATTCTTTCTTTTCTTCTCTTCTCTTCTCTTCTCTTCTCTTCTCTTCTCTTCTCTTCTCTTCTCTTCTCTTCTCTTCTCTTCTCTTCTCTTCTCTTCTC